TTGTCGTGGCAAGTAACAATGGCTTTTTTGTTGAACTCGTGACACACTGAGTGACCTCTGATCCTTAAACATGTTTGGGAAGCGCTATCTGCCTGGTATGCCAGAAAGGCTCCTTTTGCCATTTAATATCATTCTCATTTTCTAAACAGCATTTTTTGTTCCAGTTAGAATATCATAATTTGTGTCTTTATTTAAGACATTGAGAAATAAAGCCTGAAATGGTTCAGCCATTTCATGAAAAGAATATAATTTTGCCAGCAACAGGAGCATACAACATGAAAGTGGAAACACTGAGAGAATGGAAACAATCAAGAGGAAATCACAGCGTAGAGGGCAACCGATCATGACCTAGCTCAGATACTGATCAGCTGTTCACACATGACGCCTACCAGCAGAAAGCAGAGAATGGACGTGATGAGTGCCTTCATAATGTACTTTCTAATTCATATACATATCTTTTTTTGACTGCTTTTTTTATTTAGGGGGGTGGGGAGGGGAGGTGTCAGTTTTAAGGTGGATTCCTGTGAGCAGGATGTTTTACATGGAGGAACAAAATCTAGAAGATAAAGAGATAATTATCGCAGACAGTTTTGGAGCTGAGCGAAGTCAGAAGTGTATTAGATACATCTGATCACATTAATAGTGTTTCAATCTAATACTTTCACTGTGGAAGACTTGCTCATGGCTCTATATAGCACAATTTAACACTGTCTTGAGAAAAGATAGAAAAGGGCCCTCAATATATGTGTTTTTTTTTTTAAATTATTAAAAAACACATGGCGAAGAGAGCTGGAGAATGAAGTTAGAAAGATGGGGCGGGGGGCATAGGGAGAGCTGTATGTAATGGCGAAGGATATAACAACTTTGCCGTGATTTGGTTGAGGGCCTATGCTCCATTGGGGGATAGAAAGGCAGAAGAAGAAAGCTGCGATGCACTGTTTAAACCAAACTTGAGAGCTTTTCTTTTTTTCTTTTTTTTCCCCCTTTTTTTCAACTCTGTATGTTTGCGAGTATTGTGTTTTTCCTGCTATCGTGTAAATATTTGTCTGTTTGCTTATGTATTGTTTGTCTGTTAACATCTGCTGCCGTTTGTTTGTGTTTGTTAGTGTTATGTTCAAGTGTAGTCAAAAAACACAAGAAAGAAAAGGGTAATGGGAGGTTGGTGAAAGTGGGGATTAGTCCCTTTTTATTTATTTTTTATCAAAGTCAGTCGTTTTCCTTTTATTGTCCTGTTTGGTCTTTGACCCATTCCTCCCAGAAAAGGTCTGCTCTGTTTTGAAATTCTTCTTTGTGTTTCTCGTAAAGGATCTCTAGATCTGTCCGTTCTGCTAATTCTCCTTCTTCGCGACTTTCCTCTGCTTGTTTCCGTGCTAGGTCATCGATATATTCTCTGTGGTTTCGGTAATAGAACTCTTCATATGCGGACAAACCAAAATCGGTTTGTTCTCCGGCCTCTTTTCTCATTCTTTTTAATTCCTGTAAGAAAAAGTCCCATATTATGCCGCCTTCTAATTCTGGTTCTTTGTTGTCATCTATCGTCTCTTTTGTGTCTGTTTCTGGTGTTTCGGGATGTTTCTTGACTTCCTCTGGTGGTTCTGGGGACAATGGTGATAGTGGTGGGTCTGGAAGTTTTTCCTTCTCCAAGGCTGTGACAAGTTTCTCGTTCGTGGTCTTGTGTGCTGCGCGAACGGCTTCCGTGCCAGCTGGCTTTGCTATCTTTTCCTTTTGCGGTGCCTTGCCTTTGTTCTCAATCTCTGTATTGAGTATTTGGGTTGTGGTCTCTTTTGGCATCTCTTTTACTTCTGGTGTTGTCTTTGGAAGAACTGTTGTCTTTGTTTTGCTCTCAGTTGCTTTGTTGAGTACTTTTGCTGCAGCCTCTGTTAGAATTTCTTCAGCTGCAGGAGCTGTGACTGTGGCAGCGGGTTCTGTTTCTTTTTGTCCTTGGCTCAGGCTTCGTGGTCTTTGTCGTTGGATGGCGTGGGTTGGTCTGTTTCCTCTTTTCAGGACACTTGTTGGACCAGTCTTCCTGGCATGGTAATGAGTACCTTGTGGTTGTGTCTAGTTATACCGGGAGTTTCTATGCAGATGTAATTAGGTATGTCTCTTGTTGGCCTGCACATGGCTCCCCACTTTCGCTCGTCATAGTGGATTGGAAACACCTGTGGGTCGGTGTCGCCTGTTATGGCTCGGACGGCGTCTTCTACTCCTTCGGTGTTCAGTTGGCTTGGGAGCCATTTTCGGGTGATACGCTTTCTCTGTTGTTCGTAGTGCTCAATTCTGCACGTAATATTCTCGTTTTCCAGGGTCACAGATTTCCATGCAGGGTTTGGAACATTCGTTTGTGACTTCCTGGTGACAGACAGAAGAACCATTCCGTTGGACATTCGTGACGATACAAGTCGATGATCCCATTCTGCGGTATGGCAAAATGGCCTAACAAAATGGCCAACACGAAGCCAGGTTTGCTCTTTGCAGCTGCCATGGGTCCGTCGATGGTGCAGACTTAAGTGTCAGGCTTATGTAGGGTCAGGTTTGTGTATTCATTTAGAGGTACGGTGATCTTCTCCATTTTGATAAAACAAGTAGTCCAGAATTGAAATCACCTTTTTAATTTCCCTTTAACACATTAATCTAATGAATTTAACAATTTATAGTAATCCAGTTTATGGAATGATGAAAAAACAATTTGTACCTAAAATTCTCAATATAGTTCCACAAAAGGTAGACTGAAATCAGCCATCTTGCTTGAATATGGATAAATCCAATTTAGGAAAAACACATTTTATTTGTTATGACAAGCAGAGACCAAAAGTTTAATTTTGGCGCCCTTGCTGCTAACTTTGGCTGGCTTGTTTGTCTACTCGTCTCAAATGTGTGTGTAGTAGAAATCGGTAATCGATTGAATAGCGTTTCTAGGACATCCGCTAACTTTTCATATATTTAGAACATTAAGAGGTGTAGCAGCCGACCAAAGCTTGCTATAACCTCCCCTCGATAAATTAGAAATCTTCATTATGTGACCGGTTGGTTACTACTAAATCTGCTTATTTAGAGCAGAAATTACACTTATCTTTTGTGTAATGCATTATGGAAAGATGTCAAGTATTTCTGCTATTTTGATTTATTTGTTTCAACACACCCCTATCCTGTTACTTATGTTAGCTTTCGACTATTTAATAAAATGCACCTGCCGTTTAAATTGAAAAGAAGGATGACAACTCCATAGACTAAAGTATTCATAGTTTAGCAAGTTATTTCCCTTAGTTATAATGCTGGGAGATAGTCATGAAAAAAAAATGCAGAAATAAAAGCTCGGAGCTACATGAATGGTCTAAAGAGTTCTCAACAGTTTGTCCTCTTCTTTTGTTTTTGCTTTTCTAGGGACTGCATTCTGAATGATTGACGCCCAGCGCTCAAATAACCACTCACCGCTCAGTAGGACCTTTACAGAGCACACTCCTATCGCCGCCTTTGTGAAAGAAACGATACGCCGTCCCAACACGGGACGCAATTTATCGGCCTGTATAAGAATCGACGTGGAGGCAGTTACAGCAGCTTTCCGATGGCTTGAGAGCCCGACCTGTTGTGATTGTAATGGACTCACAGAGAATGACCGAATGTAGTCTCAAGAAGGCATTGCACAGAACTTGTTTCATGCTAAATATAACACAAAATGCGACTAGAAGCTCAACATAGGGAATGGAAAAGACGCACACAAACGCAGCCGAACGTTTCGACCAAAGTCTTTATCAGCAGGGTACTAAAAACAGCTCAAACTTTGACTGGCAGACTCAGCAGACAAGACAACAGAGCTGATTTTGTCTATTACGAGTACTGTTCTTACTTTTGTTACTTCTTCGGAAGTTTATCTTAGCAGGCCTTTTATTATTTGAATAATTTTCAGTTTTGCTGGATACAACTCCCACATATGTTTTTTTTACATTTTGACAAGAGACGTTTTGTCAGCCACATTAGGACTGGCACTATTAACTGTGGGTCACTCAAAAATCTGGAAGTCAAAGACACTCAGCAATCACACAAAAGATCTTCAACACTGTGTGATTCCAGTTCTAATTTATGGATGCGAGAATTGGAAAGCAATGGTAGCTCTAGACAGGAAAAAAATTTACAGTTTTAAGAACAAATGTCTTAGAATAATATTAAATCTCCACTTGAGAGGTTTCATATTCAATTCGCAAAAAAGATAAGAGACCAAGCAAGACAATGTATCCAATTTCATAAGAAAGCGTAGCTGGAATGACATCAGCCATGCACTCGTGATGGATAAGACAAGACTTCCCCATCAAGCCCTCACATGGACACCGGCAGGAAACAAAAAACTTAAAAGACCAAGAGAGACTCTACGTAGAACCATCATCAGAGAAGGCTCAACCATGGCCCAAACAAACATCTAAGACCTAAAGCAGGTAGCATCGAACCACCAGACATGGAGAGCTAAGACCTCTGCCTTATGCACCGCCCTAGGCCTAAGAGGAAAGACTAACTCACTGTATGATGGAAGGGAAATCTGAACCCTTATGGACATGTCCGAAGTAAGGATCTTTTTCCCACGCCTTTAGGTGTATGGGGCATATAGGGCTAAATCTATACTTTATAGCCCAATCAATACTTTGTGGGTGATGAAGTCAGCATCACACCGGCCGCTTTTACTTCCTGGATTTACGTGGAACCCATTTAAGCTGGGTCAGCATGGAAGCCGAGTTCTTTTTTTTTTTTGACTGACTGATATTCTACCCCACCAGGACACCACACAAGCGATAAACACCCGATGACACAAAGTGCCACCATGTGGATGAGGAAATATGACTGTAGGATGTGTTGCTGTAAGATGTGCGTTAAAGGGATTTGCACTAAACAAAACAACAACAAAAACAATGTATATCATAAGCAAACTTTATTTGTATTGTATGTCGGGTGCTTTCTATGAAGAGAAAAAATAAACTGTGAAGCACAGCAGATTACATTCAAAGACTGGTATTCTAAACGACTGTCGGACATGCGAAGTTCTGAGAAGCACATGTTGGACTTCCTATTGGTTCACAGATGCCTGGGGAAGACAAGCAGTCATGCATGCAGTTCATCATGAATGACTACAGCTAGTGTGGTTTATACCGAATCTTTAAAACAATATTTAATCCGAAAGTGAGCCCGGTGAAGTGGTTTAGTTTTCTTCGCTCTCTAAAGATCGTAGATTCATGTCATGGACACGTCGCTCATTTGGCGAGAGTAATATTAAACACCCTTGGCTAACAAATCTAACAGATTAATAAATACCCCTGTTAATGTTGCGACACTTCAACAACTTTAGTAGATGTCAGCCACTACTCCTACGTGCACCTAAATACTTACTACTATATATATATAGTTTTGTCGCCCAGCTTCTGAGTTGAGTGAATGGTGTGACACTGTGAGCTACGTGTGTTTTTCGTTGGCACAGGAGCAGAGCAACTATGGGGTGACCCGTTTGCTATGAAGCTGAAACTAGGATTACCAGATTACTTACTGCTATACGCTTAGCACAGCCGACCAAAATCTAATCAGATACAACATACTATACTACTCATGGGTAAAGTTTCTTTAGAGATCCCTATGGATAATCGGTGGAGCTGCGGAGCTCGTTCTTTGGGTGAAGCTCTTGCTAGCACAAGACTTTCCATTACCTATTTAGCTAATATTTTCGTGAATAGAGACAACACGACACATTTAACTCTTTCGGTATTAAGCAACTCACTGCACGTTTATAGAAAACTTCTTACATAATATATTACAATTAACCCCTTGTGTCTCGTCCAGATTTTGTACTAACCCACGGTCCTAAGTGTTTCTGTAGGTCTTGTTGTCTAATATGCTAATTACTTAACTGCTGTAGAAACAGCTTTCATTAATTTCTAGTAAAATCTACTTTGGATAAAGTTACAGAACAGATTGTCTGGGTCAAAAAGTTAACGAACGTCACATATAAACCACAAATAGCCTAAATAAATACACTAAATATGAATGGATACCTGGCTGGCCGGTGGGTGTTTCCAAAGAAGCTCCGTTAGTAGTTGACCATCCGCACTCCGGGTCTCCCAGCTCTTCCCCGTTAGTTTTACCGTCTCCGTCGGAGTCCTTCTTGCATAGAATCTCATTCCATGCATGGCCAGCTAGCTGAAAGTCCTGTCATGGGAAACAAGACAATGCTTTCTTGCTTCTGTATAACTACAAAGGATATATTCTAGGCATTATATTTTTGTCCCTGAGCCACCATTTAGGCTGAATGTTGAATTAAGAATCGATATTATAGCACTCGGGACACCCCCATAAGCTCTCTGTCCCTTTCTTCAGCAGCAAACGAAGAGTTCCAATTCCGATAGCACCAGTAAATGTTTGATTGTATATCCGTCTCGCCCTTCCATTGAGTGTTGAGCGTCAGCAAGATCCCGCCATATATGTTGATTTTTATAATTGAAATTGGTTTTCGCTTCTTTTTCTGCTTCTTCTTTCTTTCGTTGTCTAGCCCAAGTTTGTCTTTTAATTTTAGGTATGGAAAAGGCATGTTGTAAGAGACTCGATGTGTGCTGTTTAGATTTTATTGTATAAAACACTGCACCTTTGACATTTTCATGCGTTCTTGGTCCACCAATAAAGCAGCGACACCATGGTACTCTCTCTCTCTACTGATTGTTTCAATAAGAAATTGGCTATAGTGTCTCCTGTCATGCCCTGTATGACAAGCTAGATGTTGTGAGGGCCCTTTAGGAGCGAGTGAGCAGTGAAGAGGCACAGGTAGATCACTACTTTCTGAGGAGAATAGCGCTGCAGGCTGTTAGCAAGGGATCTTCCCGACGCTGAGCTCAGCATTCAAGGGAAAGGCAAAGACGGATATACAAGCAGTTACTGGTGCCCTTGGAATTGGAATTCTTTGCGACGGAGAGCTCAAGGAAGTGTCCCGATCTCTGTGACGTCGATTCTTAATTCAATATTCAACATTCTACCATGACCTCAAAGGCGGCACCGACATACTACCAAGGCTTCAATACGGGGTCATGCAATCATGTAAGCGCCAGAGAATGGGTGTTATCGCACAGCATTGATGAAATAAGCCCTGTCTGTGCATCTTCCAGACTGCTGCATAGATTCTGATATTCACGGTGTCAGATATTCCGTCCATCCATTCTCACTTCTGCCTAGCCTTAAACTTGGAACTTGGCCTCGATGAGATTTTGAATAAATAAGAACACAGCCAACAAACAATGTGCAAGTCACTGGTCGTCTGGGGCTCTATGTGCCACCACATAATGCCATTCAGCTTTCGTGTTTCTCGAAAATAAAACCCGGTTTTATATTGTTTGCTCCAAAAGACGACGTACTGATTATTTTTAGGCTATATCTTAATATGTCGTATTCAAAAATCTAAACCTATTCAAGTACAAAAGTATTTTTCTAAAGCATTAAAGTGAATAATATTATTTATTTTCTGGGTTCCGGTTCCCATTTTGTGAAGGAAAAAATAGACACCCTAACAAGCATGTCATAATAGTCGACTTAGGGTGTCTCCACTGAAGTTGAAGTGCATCTGGCTGAGAGGCGAGAAACCAACAGTCTGCGTACAAATAAGAAAGATCTGTAAAATGGATGTGCACGTAAGGTTCTAGAAAAAGGCTAGAGTCCATATTTATGGTTTTTTTTAATCAGTTCATCATATTATAATTCAGTATGTCCCTTGTGGATTTAAACGCATGCCTAAATCTGTCTGTCTGACTGAAGATCCTAATTATGGCATATATTTGGGGTAGGGTTTATATCACTAAAACAGCTGGGAAATTGGCTCTGGACGCAAACGAACGTCGTGGGGGATGTGCCTCAGTAAACTTGCCCGGGTATCTGTGGAAAAGAACGTCTATCCCTTAAAAAGCCAATGTCTCCGAAATGTCTGCCGGTGTCCCTCTGCCAGTTGCAAAGTCCGATGAACCAACCGTAAGCTTGTCACTTGGTCGTTAAGGTAGCCGGCTGATCAAATTGTCTGCAGCAACGACTATACATATAATTAACTTCGAATCTCACAGTACCCGTTGCATAATCACCATTTCGTCTTGTCCCTGTCCGAAAACATCCAGTAAAGTGCAGCAGGGTAAGATCGAGGCCTGGGGGTAATGACCCAGGTCGGCCCACCCTCTGAAATTGTCTAGGAGGTAATAGACCTAAACAGTTGTTGACGAAGGATCTTCTACTTATTATCGGTAGACTCCTGCTGTACATGCTCTGCTGTGGAGTTCTTATTATTATTATACGATCACGTTGAAAAATCGTGCTAGCCCTTTTCGTTGGGTTAGGATTTTTTTTTTCGGGAAACTCGAAATAGCGTCTCACATTTAGCAATACATGAAAGGACTTACACTTCCAAAGGGATTTCTAAGACCTCCTCCACCTGGAACGAGATGGCCGACTCCGGACCATAGGCCTCCTGTAGTAGAACAAGGATCGGGAACTTTGGCTCCGTTGGGGATAAGCGACTGAAAGCTACCGAAAGCGGCAACTGTTGTCAGTGTCAGCATCAGGCACAATGTCGTCTTCATGTCTGCAAAATGTCGAGGTTTCCTAGTAATTCCAATGTCTTATTATAAACATATTGGCGTTAGAGAAACGGTTACAGTGTTTAAATAAATAACTGTTTGCTGTTTCTACTTCGTCCTCTTCTTTTCTTCTTTTTCTTCTTCTTCTTCTTCTTCTTCTTCTTCTTCTTCTTCTTCTTCTTCTTCTTCTTCTTCTTCTTCTTCTTCTTCTCCTCCTCCTCCTCCACCTCCTCCTCCTCCTTCTTCTTCTTTTTCTTCTTCTTCTTTTTCTTCTTCTTCTTCTTCTTCTTCTTCTTCTTCTTCTTCTTCTTCTTCTTCTTCTTCTTCTTCTTCTTCTTCTACTTCTTCTTCTCCTCCTCCTCCTCCTCCTCTTTTTTCTCCTCCTCCTCCTTCTCCTCCTTCTCCGTCAGCTTCTGCTTTTGCGTTTTCTTCTTCCTCTCCTCCTTTTCCTCCTCCTTCTTGTTCTTCTTCTTCTTCTATCTTTCCTTTGTCTTTTTCTTCTTCTTCTTCTTCTCCTTCTCCTTCTTCTTCTCCTTCTTCTTCTTCTTCTTCTTCTTCTTCTTCTTCTTCTTCTTCTTCTTCTTCTTCTTCTTCTTCTTCTTCTTCTTCTTCTTCTTCTTCTTCTTCTTCTTCTTCTTCTTCTTCTTCTTCTTCTTCTTCTTCTTCTTCTTCTTCTTCTTCTTCTTCTTCTCCTCATTCTCCTCCTTCTCCTTCTTCTTCTTCTTTTACTTCTTCTTTTTTTTCTTCTTTTTCTTCTGCTTCTTCCCATGTCACACTTACTTAGTCTATCCTCTCTTATCTCAGTGTGAAGAGGTGTCACAGAGAGATAGCCATACTTCCCTCTGACTTTGTTTCATTCCAGTCCACTGTCAGTCAGGGATTGTCAAATGTTATCTTTCCAGCGAACCCTGGGTCGTCCTGCTGGTCTGGTTCCCTTGTTCTTGGTCTCCCATGCCCCCCGTGGTGGTCTTTTGACTTCCATTATGCATACAGACTGTCCTATGACTGATTCACTCCTGGGTTTCAAAGTCTGAACGCATGGTCTTATTGGGAACTGTGTCCCTTCTGGTCACTTGAAGCACCTTTCTCAGACACCTTATTTCTGAGGCCTGAAGCTGGTTCTTGCCTCTAAGCAGCCTACCACTGGAAAATGGTAGCTGGAAAATATCCTTACAAGTGAAAGCATCCACATGATGCTAAACACATCACCCACAAAAGGTTGATTGCTCAACAAAATTTGAGTCTGGTACCATATGCTGGGCTCGGCACTGAAATGAACAAATATCCGTTATTTACTTCAATGGCAACTTTCCGTCTGTCCAGACGATGCAGATATATTGTGCTTTACCAGTGGCTCTCAACCTTCCTAATGCGGCGACCCTTTAATACAGTTCCTTATGGTGTGGCGACCCTTTAATACAGTTCCTTATGTTGTGGCGACACTTTAATACAGTTCCTCATGTTGTGGCGACACTTCAATACAGTTCATCATGTTGTGGCGACACTTTAATACAGTTCCTTATGTTGTGGCGACCCTTTAATACAGTTCCTTATGTTGTGGCGACACTTTAATACAGTTCCTCATGTTGTGGCGACACTTTAATACAGTTCATCATGTTGTGGCGACACTTTAATACAGTTCCTCATGTTGTGGCGACACTTTAATACAGTTCCTCATGTTGTGGCGACACTTTAATACAGTTCCTCATGTTGTGGCAACCCCCAACCATAAAATTATTTCCGTTGATACATCATAACTTCATTTAATATGTGGTTTCCGGTGGTCTTTGGCGACCCCTGTGAAAGAGTCGTTCGACCCACAAAAGAGTCGCGATCTACAGGTTGGGAACCGCTATGCTATAGGGAAGAAAGGGAATATCTACTTCTGCCCACGGTCACTGTGACTAGCAGGAGCGGTAAGAGTTAAGAAGTCATCATCCACAATAAGTTCGTGGGAAATCAGAACTATCGTTGTCATCGTGTTTCAATCAATCACTCAATCAGACGCTATCTCCCCAATAAAGCTTGGCTGTAATAGAGTGCCAACATGCTCTTGTCTTTGCTGTGCAGGTCTCAGTCTGATGTTCATCCATCTCTTATGTTATCCTCTTTCTTTTATCGTTGTCTACCTCTTCTGCCCTCGACATTGCCCTCCTGTAACTGAAATATTTCAGTTGTCTCCTTATAGTTAATTTAACAATCTGTTCGTTCTAATCCCTTCAGAACCTCTGTAATTTAGTTGTTTTCCTTTCCTTGAAATACGACCGATTCTCCTGGATGTCCAAATCTCCAGAGACCCATATAGATTTTCTGCTAGCTTGTTCATAGTCCAGGTTTCTGCACCATACATCAGCGTTTTCAGTATTTTGTTTATCTCTCTAGCTGGCAATAATATTGGTTTCTTGTTGGAGATACTTGTAACTTTACTTGTCTTTTTTCATTGTATTTACCTAACTACTAACTTACTATAACATTGACTTACTGAAATTATATTAATAACCTTCAGATATGGACGTAGTGATTCATTTTTAAAAAAGATGTCCACTACACATTACGAACGACTACGTTTGACCTTGTTTCTGGCCACGAGATGAAACTATACTTACTTGGTTTCTAAAAATCTGCAGCGAGCAACGGCCCTTTTCTTATCAGACAAGTTACTTATATACGCAAGTCTTTGTTCGTTTTCAGACAATGTTCGGTGGGCCGATTTCAGTACTATCTCATCGAACAGATAACTCATCGTCATCATCATCGTGTAGGTCGCGTTCAGAACAATGATTTCATCACAACGTACCGGGAAAGACTCTTCCTGGTTTGCCTATCCCCTGCTTGTGTATTCACAAAGTCCTGTGTTTCTCTTTGTGCTCACAGAGCCCTGCTACTTCTGACAAGAAACGTATGTTTAGGTTGGCTGTAAAAGTGTATGCAGGAATATCATTTGAATCAGCAACTTTCCTAACCTCTTGACTTTGATAGCTTTTGTTTCTAATTTAAATAGATTCCAGCATTTGATATCCAGTACCACTTTTGCAAGCTGCTTATCTGAGAGCATATATTGAACTATATATTATTCAAAATAAATGTAATAAATATAAGGAATTATTATTTTTACTATGATGAACTGCAGAAGGGACGACGAACAGAAGTGACCACTACAACCAGTATGCCGAAGCTTAGAAGGCAGAACATTTCAAACCAAAATGGCAGTAAATGCTATAGAAGTGTCATGGCTGCAATTAATGTCTGTATTTACCACTTGTTTTAAAGTGTGTGTTGTGGGGGGGGGGGGGAGTGAGAGATAACTTTGGGCTTGGGGTTTAAGGCTGCAAGACTAGCATAATCGCAACGATCCTGGGTCTTGTAATGCGAGGATTTCCAAACGGGTGCCCAGATGGGTATGTAGGGTCAAGGGTAAGTAAAGTGAACAGGACGCGGGAAAGAAAACCGCTCGCAAAATCACAGGTTTAATAGAGGACAACACGGCGAAACCAGAGAGAGGTTTGAAAAGGGAAACCGAGATCGATTTAGTTGGTGTTTGTCAGCTGGAGAGACTGGTCGAGTTCGAGAGGCGTGTGACTGCTATGAATTGTACCTGACGACGTGTGAAAAAGGTCTGACTGATTTGAATTGTACCTGACGACCTGTGGAAAAAGCTTTGACTGATTTGAATTGTACCTGACGACCTGTGGAAAAGGTCTGACTGATTTGAATTGTATCTGACGACGTGTGAAAAAGGTCTGACTGATTTGAATTGTACCTGACGACGTGTAAAAAAGGTCTGACTGATTTGAATTGTACCTGACGACGTGTGAAAAAGGTCTGACTGATTTGAATTGTACCTGACGACCCGTGGAAAAAGCTTTGACTGATTTGAATTGTACCTGACGACGTGTGGAAAAGGTCTGACTGATTTGAATTGTATCTGACGACATGTGAGAAAGGTCTGACTGATTTGAATTGTACCTGACGACGTGTGAAAAAGGTCTGACTGATTTCAATTGTACCTGACGACGTGTGAAAAAGGTCTGACTGATTAGAATTGTACCTGACGACGTGTGAAAAAGGTCTGACTTATTTGAATTGTACCTGACGACGTTTGAAAAAGGTCTGAATGATTTGAATTGTATCTGATGACGTGTTAAAAGGTCTGACTGATTTGAATTGTATCTGACGACGTGGGAAGAAGTCTGATTCCTCAATTTCAGTATTTCATTATTAAACTTAAAAAAAAATGTGACACACACACACACACACAAATCAAGTTTTTGAAACACATTGCAAACTTGGGACGTATTTATATATATATATATATATATATATATATATATATATATATATATATATATATATATATATATATACGTACATCCCTGGTAGGTTCAAAATGTAGTTAATATTAGCTGAGTTTGTTTTAAGCGTGATTGTGAATGAAGTTTTACTGTATTTACATTCTGGAGGAAAAAAACGCAGCTTCTAAATAAATTATCACAAATACTGTCAACGACAAACTGCATTTCTGATGGCGACTGTTGGCGTTGGGGCCTCTAGCAACTGCCATATGCATTTACTGCGTGCTCATACTTCTGGACTGTACCGGGGCTAACTGTTTGACAGTTTTTCAGATGGGGCAAGCGGTACATTTCATTTGACTTTTCCTGGCTACAAACTACAGGACGTAAATTTGCCTAGAGAAACCACACAACAGCCAGGTGCTGCTGGTGTTGGTTCTGCAGCGACCTGAAAAGGATACGCAACTAACATTCACTGGCTCAGAGACGGAACATGTTTGGGGTGACACAGTTGCAGTGAAGGTGAAACCTTGACTAACACTAGGACTGCCATGACAGATTGTTGACAACCTTTTTTTTTGTGTCATGCCTGGTTAGATGTCAGCACGCGAATTAAGACATTCTATAGATCGCTTGATGCGGAGAAGCGTGATCGTCCACGCCAGTCACCGTGTTTCTTGATAAAGTTAATGTTTATATTTCTTTGTATGT